AGTGATGAGGTGGAAAACAAAAGTCCTTGACAAACTTAGAAAAAGTCCATTATCACAGACTTCCAGATAAGAAAGCCACAGAATGATACTTTGCTCCTGGTTCATGGGAGGGCTCCCCTGCCCTGCACAACATCAGATGACAATTCCAGATGACCAGGGGCTGCTGTGTGGGAACTCTGTCCCCACATCCACTGTCCACATGTCAGTTCCTCATGTACAAACTTGGTGGTAGGAATATCACCTGCCTTGAAGACTTGTTGTGAAGACAAGATGGATCAGTATTTCTAATGTCCTCATTATAATAGTATCTGTCACCTACTACGTTCTCAACAAATCTTAACTACTAATGCCCATTTCCTCAGCTGTCAGTTCCCAATGACAAAATTCACAGAGTTCCACCTCTGTAGCTCCCAAGGCTCCTTATACATTGCCCTGCCCGCCAGTGTCCATGGGCAGGTGGGACAAGAGCCTCCCCATGAGAACAGAAGAAGCCTTGGATTATAGTGCCAGGGCCAGGTTTTACCCAATGCCACGTCCTTCTCCCCATGCTCTTTGAATATTTCCAGTAACAGGAAATCCACTGGAGATGCTCCAACAAACACCAGGCAACCACTCTTGCCCACTGTCCTGTTCCATCTCCGAGAAACTCTAGCATTCATTCATTATTCATTTGTTAATAGATTCTACAAATATTTACTGAGCCCCACTATGTTCCAGATCTGCTTAGGGCTGGGTGGGGGACATTGTTAATAAAACAAAGTTGTAGACTCTGTAGACCTTGCGATCAAGCTGGGGTTAAAATACACAGATATGAATATGGATGTTGGTATGTAGATAAAATGTTTATTGATCTATTATAGATCCAGCACTATGTGGCTTCCTTTAGGTAAAAACGTATTTAATCATCCCCAAAACTCAATCTTGGGATTCTATAATGTAAAGATTTGACAAGCAAAAATTTAATTATATGTGCTTACAATGACTGGGGGATGCCATGTGATGATACTTCTCTCAGAAATTGTAAGAAAGAAGGAAAAGAGGGGGGGCACGTATCTCACCACGAACCTTGCTCCAATCTAATTTATGTAGATATCCCCAGTGTTCCCTTTCAAACTAGCCTTGACTGACAATGCCCCAGGAGATTTGGCTGCAGCTCAAATGCAAGACTTTTTTTTTTTTTTAAATATCAACTATCTTTTGAACTTTTTGAACCCAGGTGTTCTCCCAGGGATTTCATTCAGGATTACTTTTATTACTGTTCTGCTGTATACACTGACTTTCCCTATGGAAGGTTCCACACTGTGTCATTATCATCCTTGTTTTACAGATAAGGGATGGTCAAATAGAGAGGGAGGCGGAGTCAGGATATGAGCCGAGGTCCTCTGTCTGAAATCTTAATGGAAGGGTTCACTACCTCTGCATTCTCTTTCTCTATAGTGAGCTAGAGAGGCTTCCTTTTAATTTCCACTCTGATGATTAAATAGCATGAATCTACTCCATCTCCAGAATTCGTTCTGCCCCTGGAAGGCTTAGAGAGCTGTCCTGTCTCCCTATTCACCTCGCCCCTGGGCCTTTTCTACTCATCACCAGGCTACACACTCAGGCATCCTCCAAGCATCTCTCTGTGACAGACGTCGAGGGCCCTCCACGCCCCTGACACCCAGGAGAAGAAGATACTTCAATTTCCAGGGTTGCTCTCATGCCTAGAAAGACACAGAATTCTCCATCAGGGTGACTGAGTAAGAGCTAGCATTTGTTGTGGATTTTTATCAGAAACCAGGGTACAAGACATGCCTCCCTTTCCTCTGAAACCTATCAGATAACTATCAGCAGTACAGCAGGAAATGGAAAATCCTCACAAGCCTCCAATGGGAGTGAGAAGGAGTGGTGGGGAGTGTGGTGATTTGGAGGGCCCAGGGATTATGCACAGGGGTACCCTCCAGTCAGCTCCACATGAGGGTCCCAGGAAGCAACCTGACCTTGTGATTTTCATAAGAAGCTAGAAACCCAGATTTCTATGTGAATTTGACAATTTTTAGAGGGTGGCAAAAAATTAAATAATAGATACACACATATATACATACACTACTATTAAGATGCACCCCCTTCTGTGTGTATGGTTTTTACATAGAAGTTAAAATTTATCCCTCCCAATCTTGCCAGATTTGGCCAAGCTTCCAAATTTCAAAGTCACTTATGTCCTCAGATTCTGTATTCCCCCAAAGTCATTCCATCCCAAATCAAAGAAGCCAATCTGTTTAAAATTCACATCTTCCTAAATTCATACTTTTCCCCTTACCTAAATCATAGTCCCAATACACAGAACTTCCAAGGCACCAAATATCTTCCTTGCACCCCGCAAGATCCTCCCTGGGGAGTATACAGTGTTTTCTGAAACCATGAAGGAGTAACTGAATGACACCTGTGCAGGCTAAGGGGGGGGGGGTCCTCTCCGTGAGGTACTAACAAATGTCCCCCGTGGTTGGGAATGCCCCTGAGAGGACACTGAGGCCAGGGTGCAGCTCTGTGGGTGATGCTGTTTGTCTTGGAGTGGAGGCGACATTTGCTACAAATATTGACACTAAAGCCATGATAAATATACCACAGCCAATTGATTAACACCATTCACTTGACTAAGGCCCCAGGATTTGCAACAGAACCTGGCTCTGTTGGCTTTCCCCTTGAAAAGTCTCAAAAGCAGCCCTGAGCTTGATGGTCTGCTCACTCTGCTTTGTTCTTCTGAAGATCATAATTTGCTTGAAGAAATCTCCATCTTTGTGAGGCCACAAAAGTGAAAGTTAAGCAAAACAAAACAAAACAAAAACACAAAAAGAAAAAAAAATTCCCCAAACAGTTGTCTTCCAAAGTAATGTATCTATCAAACTGGGCAGAGGATATTTCTAGTTCATTTCTGTGCCTGGATAACAAGTGAGTATAAGGCAGTACTGGAGGACAGAGCTCTTCAGGTTGGAGGTTGGGGGGAGGTGGCCCACCCTGAGGGACCCTAGGCTCTTGGGAGGGAGTACAGGTGTAGGAGGCTGCAGATGTGGGCCATTTGTTTGGGCTGCCATCACCCAGAGCCACCTCCATATGCCAACCACACCATCGTTTCCCCCTCTGGAGTGACATGGGGACGGTAAATAACATGCATGGTCAAAGGCAATCAAGGACGATGCACCATCAGTATTTCTCCTTCCGTGTGGTGGAGCTTGTTTGACTTGGCTCACATCTTCCCAAACTCTGAATACAGCAGGCTTTAGATTTGTTTAATCAAACCTGCCCACAGAGTACAAGGCCCGCCAGGAGCCCCAGGGCAAGGCTGCCTGTGCTTTGAAGCCAATCCCCTTCTGTCTCCAGGGAGAATTAGCATTCCAAACCCAGGAAGCAGGCTGTGCCAAATTTGGGTTTCCTAAGGATTAACTTTTTTTTTTTTTAATTAGGCCTCACAGACACATCAATTCTTCTTTATCAAAAAACCATCTCTGGCTTAAGGCACAGCCTCCTGTAGGCCACCATGAGAAGCAATCAGCCCCTCCCAGATATTTTCTACCATGAGGAGAACCCTAGAGGCTTTTCTGTCTACTATGGAGTTCTTCAGCCTGGAACCAAGTTTCATTTACCCTCTAAATAGGAACGTGCAGAATGTGAAGGAAGACAGAACCTAGTATGTTTTTTTCTAGAATGAATGGATGGGCCCTGGGGGCTCCCTTAGCAACTTGAGAGAGAAGCTCCAAGTCCCTCCTCCAGGAGGTGTCCGCTGCAAAAGGAAATGGCCAAGCAGAGTGCCAAGAAAACACCAGCAGAAACTCTAAATGAGGTGGTTCACACAGACCCCTGCAAAGAACATGAAGTAAACCATGGGCTGATTCCTGGCTGAATCTGGAGTCATAAATACAGCTAATTAAAATGAAGAACCCAGAGGAAATGCCTCATGGCCAGATTACCCAAACTGTGAGCTGAATCTCACTGGTACTCAAATTAAGTTAGGAGGCACTTGGAAGGACTTCTATTTTAAGAGTCATCTATTTTAATGTATATTAACAAAAAATTAGCATATTAAGACCAGGGGCTATAATATCTTTATAACAAAGTGTAGGGGCCTATTGGTTATTTTATATAAAAGACTTAGACATAACCTGTGCAAGGACACTCAGCCCTTCCCGTCAGCACCCCAAAATTTCCCATGTGAAAGGTGCCCTCCTTGTACCTGGAAGTAAAGAGACATCCTCATCACCAAGCTTGGAAATTTAGAGAAAGTTGTAAGAAAAACAAGAAAGCTGTATAAACATCCCTTGTTACTTTTTATTGATTTACTATCCCAGTCCACATTCTTTCTAGAATGTCTTCCTAGGTGTGTGCCTTAGCTGAATTGGTCAGAGTGCCTGTCTGATAGAATGCCTTACTAACTAAAGCCTCCAAAGTGAAGTTTTGTCTTCTCAAGTCCTCCCAGATTCACTGTCTCTTGGTGGAAAAAGCACAAAAACTGCCTACCTTGCTGGTTTTTTTAGGTCTCCCATTTAATGACTGGACCTCTGTGCACACTTCATAAACCTTTGGTTTTTTTCCTCCTGCTAATCTATCTCATGTCAGTTTAATTCTTAGTCCAGTTAGAAGAACATGAAGAATAGAGGAAGAGTTTTTCCTTCCCTTCAGAGGCTAAATTAGTATTTAAGTTTGAAAAACTGAGACATTTGAAGAAAATATGTTGTGTAAATAATATTATTTACACTGGGAGTTGGCAAACATTGAGATGACATGTGGATTGCTAAAAGGAGGGAAATATTGTCTCATGACCAAAAGGAGGGGAAGAAAATTATTTCTGTTCAAGAGATTGGGGGTCCCCACTCTGGGGAGGGTATAGATAGGCCCCCTCTAGAGGGGTCAGCCCCCTACTCCTTGGGGTTGTCACCCTCGCTCCAGCCCAATGAGACCCTGGGACAGAGGGAAGGGCCCCCAGAGGACCAGACCCCTGGCAGGCCCGACGGTCAGGACCCTTGTACCTTCACAACATCTTCGTCCGCAGACCTGCACTCCACAGCCTCTGACACGTCCACCACGGAGCCGTCCTCCTGAATGCCCACGACCTTGACAGGAACCGACACGGCCTTCCCGGTGAGGACCGCTGTGTTCAGCACCTCCGTGTCCTGCACAGGAGAGCAGAGGGTGTAGGTCACACATGGGGAAGCCCACGAGCAGGAAGGGGCCGCCAGCCAGACCATTTCCACCTTAGCTCATGCCCTGCCACTAAAACTACGTCTGTGTGGACCAACTCCCCAGGTCGTGCGACACGGCAATTCCGGAGTTGGGAGCATTTCATCCTAGCCTGAGCTCAGGAAGCCTGACAGCTAGACCTCCTTCTCCACCCCCAGGGGCAGGGGCATCATCCTATCCCCCCACAACCCCTCCTGCCACCCCACCCCACCCACATCCCAGCCTAAAACCAGGCTCACACGCTGCACAGGGTGCCTTCCAACATTCGCCAAATCTCCACTCAAGGGTCACTTGGTAAGTGATACCTTGTGCTTATTAAAACAATGAACATGGCCCTCAGTGCAGTTTCAATTTAAGAAGACAAATAATAGGGCACCTGGATGGCTCAGTCAGTTAAGTGGCCAACTCTGGATTCATCTCAGGTCATGATCTCAGGGTAGTGGGATCGAGCCCTGCATGGTCTCTGAGCTCAGCCCAGAGTCTGCTTGCCCTTCTCCCTCTGCTCCCAACCCCTATCTCTCTCTCTCTCTCTCCCTTTCTCAAATAAATAAATAAGATCTTTTAAAAAGAAGACAAATAACAGCACAAGTAACAGAAGAGAACTAGTCCCAGAATATCAACCTCTGCACCCCTGACCTGACCCAGGATCCTTCTTCCCCACCAAGCCTCCATGTGCCCCCAGTCCCCTCTAGCCCAGGGATCTGTGAACACTGGCATCATGTTAGTTTCTCTCTTCCTCTGCCGATCCCTGGGGTCCTGTAGGATCCACCTTTATGACTTCTGTCTCACCTGTTACATTCTTGCCATCTCCATGGCCACCCCCCCACAGAGAAACTGTCCTCACTGGACAGCCACAATGGCCTCCAACCCATGTCCTGTGTTCACTCTCCCCATGACAGTTGAAGAGATTCTTTTTCATCTCAATAGAATTCAGATCATTTCTCTCCTAGCTTCAAGCTCTTTGAAAGCACCTACTGTTTATTCTTAAGATAAAGCCCATGCTCCCTGCCAGTGGTGATCTGACCCTGGCCCACCCTCTGGCTCTCTCACCCTTCCTCCTCTTCCTCCTCACAGACTTCTCTTACTTCTCTCCACGGTAGCACACACTCAGCATGCCTCCCGCTCTTACCCATGCAGAGCCCTCCACCATACCTGCCTCTGCTCTGGCCATCGCAGCCTCCATGCCCACTTCTTCAGAGGAATAGGGCTCTTCTGCCCTCCACAGTGTGAATGAGCGCTGCCCTAGCCTGTCCTGCACAGTAATGACCACCACAGCTCACCTTATGTTTATCTTGTGTTTGTGTTTCCATCTCTAATGACTCATTAGACTGTAAACTCCCCAAGTGTCTCAGCCCCCTTTGTTCTGACCTGTGTTGCATCTACAGAACCGGGGATGGTATCTGGTGTGCAGAAGAGAGGTCACATGTGTGGGCTCTGGAACTGGACTGTCTGGGTTTGAAGCTAGCCCAGCCTCTGTTCCAATGGATCTGCAGTCATGGAAAACCTGACTCAAGTGAAATGATCCAACACGGGTCTAATTATGCCTCTTACATAACCAGAGTCTGGAGGACCGTGGCTGCTGCCTCTGGTCCAGTGACTCCCCGAGGTCAGGGCTACTTCTCGGCCGTTCCCTTGGCCACTCCCTCATGTAGCAAGATGGCATCCATCACACCAGCCATCTGCCCACTGTCTACACAGGGAGAAGGCAGGATGGAGAGTACACCTGCTGTGCCTGCTCCTTTTCATCAGAAGTCCAAAGCTTGTCACACGGCCAGCCCACCTGCAGAGGAGGCTGGGAAAGTGGGCATCTGGAGTAGAGTTGGCAGTGGAGTAGGAGTGTGTAAATGGGTTTTTATAGTCTACTACCAGGTCTGCCACGAGTTATTTACTTCTCCCTGTGCCTGAGTTCCCTGGAATACAGAGATAATAAAAATACGTACCATCAAGATTTAATGAAAATGTACAAAGCTTAGAACAGAATTGGCATATAATGAGCAGCAAGAGCTCAATAACTGTAGGTATTGCAGTAGATGCTACGAGAGATTGCTTCTATGAATGAATGAAAGAACCACCAGGCAGGTTCACAAAGGGACTCTAGTGAAGATGCTCTTCCACACTTGTCCAAAGAGAAAGTCAACAGGAGAAGCCGATGGGAAACTGGGCCACAGCAGTGAGATCCTCGGAATACTCAACAGTAGGCTCCACCAGAATCAACCCAACGGATAATCATTTCAAGTGCTCCCTTCACTCTCAGAGCCCCTAGTCTCAGCTCAGGCACTAAGTGGGTCCACATTTGATTTTCTAAATCAGCCCCTCATTATCCACCTTAAACCTGAAGATGGGTAAGAGATGGAGTCAATGAGTGATAACAATGATGATGATGACAGGCAGTGTTCTAAGTACTTTACATGTAATTAATTGCTCATTCAGTTTACTCAACAACCCTTCCAAGATAATTCCTTGCATTATTCCCAGTTTATAGATTTGTTATTCACTGATAGCAAACCTGAAAAATAACAGCTACTTGTCAATAAAATAAAAAATCAACTTTGTAATGAACAGCTGTAAACAATGCCAACCCAATCTAAGAAAGATGTAAAAATAAGTTGGGATTTTTTTTTTTTTTACATATGCTCTCTCCTCTGGATGAATTCTCAAGGAGTTAACTACAAAAGCATGTAACTCTAGTCCACGTTCCTAAGTATTCCATTCTCACCAGGGGCATGAAGTATATGTGCCTTTATATTTAAGGAGTACAGCAAGGACAGGAAGCAGGAAGCACTGCAGAAGTTGAGATGAGAGCTCACTAAAGATGGGATAGTGGTGTGGGTGTGGGCATGATTACAATGTGTACAAAGAACAGAGACTATATCATGATTCCAGAACAAATGGCTAAATTCTACTCATAATGCAACTGAAAAAAAAAAAAAAACCAATATGGCTGTTTGCTGTGTTTAATGGGCAGGCATTAATTCTGCCTTATGAGCATTCACGGGTGCTGAACATCCATTCAGCCTTCTGTTTGTAATAAAAAACATTTTATTTTCCTTTAGGTAATCTTCCACTCTGCTACCAATGAAGGTGACTTAGATGGTGCTGACCTCAGATGGCCAAGTCAGGCTTCACAGATGAGCACACCGAATGTTGCCCATTGAGGTAAGCCAGTGTCGTGTCCTCAAAGACTGATTCAAGTGAAATACAAACAATGGAAATCAAAGACAAGAGAAGGATAAGACAGAGTCCTGGGAAAGATTTCTGGGTTTCTAAATCCAGCTATATCTGTGTCTTCTATCTTTGGAAATTAGATACATGAAATAAACTGTTTTACTTAAGTCAACTTGAATTGTAAGCCAATTTACAACTGAAAGTCTTGACAAATACACATGAGAATAGGCAACATGTTGGCTCTAAAATGAACACCAATCTCTACCCTGTAGAAGCTCACAGCCTTCAAGGAAGACACCACAATAATTTTACTAAACTGAGATTCAAGGGAGGTGACTTTATTTTTTATAACAACCAATCACAACTAATCCAAGCTTGTGAGTTGATCTAAATACCTCTGCAACCATGTTTCTTCTTTTAGTTTTTGCACAGGTGGCTGAGATTTTTACAACCATGTTTTCCAATGTCCATCAATGGTCTCTCTAAAATTCCAAAGGCAATCCTACTTGCTTCTGACACAATAAGAAAGCAATTTATCTTGTTAAATATTACATTTAAATCATCCCCTGGTGCCACAGACTGCTAAAAATTCACCATCTATCAAAATATAAGCCTTTTATTCTGTCCTATTTGTGCAAGCTCTAGGTTTTATGTCTTGAAAGCATATTTATATTCCTTTATGAAGATGAGTTTCCATTAATGTTGCACACTACAGCAGCATCAGTGGAAATGGCAGAGTAAGGATATCTGAAAATTCTCTCCATAAAAGCAAGGAGAAAACTGGGGGAAAAAAGTTAAAATCAACTTTTTTAGAACTCTGGAAATAAAACAAAGGCTTATGCAACCAGGAGAGCATTTATTCAAGAAAAACGTCTGAATCTTGTTTTGTTTTGTTTTGTTTTTTTAAGAAAGAGAACTTTGTGGCATTTTAACTTGGTTATTCCCATCCCTACTTCTTAGCCCCATAGTAGCTTTAAAAAATTATAGCCCACATTCACAGTCAAAAGCACAAGGGTTGCAGTATAAAAGCCACTGAAGAGAGATCAGGGCTGGGATCTTTTACACCCTAATTCCCAAAGAATTGCCATTATTCAACTTGTCTTATAGTTCCCTGGCAGATCCCACTTGCAAGGCTATCAGTATTTGACTTCACTCTGAGTTCACACAGTATGAAAAGCTTTTCTCCTAGAAGTATTTATTAAAAGCAATTGTAGGCAATTGTTTAACTTCATAGCTGCCTCTGAGTGGTGAAAAAAGTCTGGTGCAAAAAACCAGACTAACCTAAAAGCTTAAAAGGAATGATGATGAATGAGACGCCTACAGGTGCTCCCAAAAGCTAATACCTACCCTGGGGAATCTATAAGATCATGATTAACTTAGAGCTGTGTGCATGCCCAGGACTGTGTTCATACTCAGAAAAGACCTAACAAGTCTGTAAGTTCTCACTTCTTGTTAACTTTGAGGTTCTATGAAAGCAGGAACTGAAAGCTAAGGCAGAGCTGTCAAATACCTGGCTAGTATAGAAAGCATGTCCCAACACACAGAGAAGCTCTTGGCAAAGACTGGGACACTTATTAATTCCAAGGTCACATGGGCCAAACAAAGACTTCAGAGACCACACACAACAAAGAATAGAGACTTAACAGAACTAGTTCATTAAAGTCACTAAACAAACTATTACAAAAAACAATAAATACAAACTCAGGGGAAAGGAAACAATCTAATTGCAGAGTTGCTACATTATTTAAAATTTCCACTTTTCTACAAC